ATGACAGAAAAAGCGCAAACAATTCAACCTTTCGACCCTTTCTGGCTTTGGCTCCACGTCCCCCTGACCTGGACCCCCCTTCAGGGTGTCCAGGCGCAAGGTTTGGGCTCCGGCGGTAGAGATTCATGTAAGGAATTAAAACCGAATTAGACAGAGACATGTCGGCCAACTGTGCGAGGCCGTCGTTGAGGTACACTCGAGCCGTACGTGCTGCGGCCCACCGGCCTTGCACGAGCAATTTATCGAAAGAACCGTGCTGGTTAAACCAGAACGTCGCGCCCCCTCTGCGCAGACTGTAAGGTCGGAAATGCAGGTCATTCAATTTGAGTGCCTCAGTGGCTTTGGTAAAAAGCGCTCGCCACGCATGTGGCTTGAGGGTTAAAAATTGGGAAGCGGTGGAACGCTGTTTCCATGTCCAAAGGTCTGGGAGGATTGAACGCTCATGCAGTGTCACACTTTCTGCCGCTCCTTGACGAGCGCCTCCCTTTGTCAGGCCCAACGAGAGAACCGCTGGCCCCTTGGGCCCAGGGATGAAAACATCCTTGGCGCGCAAACTCAGTAGTTCACCGGTACGAAGTAGGCCATAGAAGGCAACCCGTAAGGACAAGCCAAACTCAGGGCAGCCATTGAAAAGGGACCAGCCGCATAATGCGTCAAGGATCTGCACGGTCATGGGCGGTGCCCGATTAGGGATCTCAACGGTGGTCCACGCTTTAAGCAACCTCCAACTGCCAGGTAGCTTCTTCTTTAAGGAAGGGTCGCGGTCTTGTAAAGCTGCAAGGGTGTTGTTCGCCACGGATCTGCCTTCTCCAGAGGCCCATAGATACTCTAGATAGTCACTCACCAAGGCATCCAGGCGGTTTTGCTGCTTTGGGAGGGCCAAACCCTCCCCTGCCATCCAGTCAAAGAAACGGTTGAGACATTCTGTGTAGCGTTGCCGGGTACGGGGTTGCACGGTAAGGCCTTTGAGTGAACCTAGCTTGTTTCGAACCTTCTTGCGCTCTTGTTGGCTTTTACCTTCCATCACTTTCGTGGTTTTCTTACCCATTTCTTACGAAGAGGTCGGCGCGAGGGCCGATCAGCAGGGTTCTGGTGGGTATCCACGTACCCCCAAACCCCAACAAGTCCTCCTGCCAACTGAAGCGCTCCGATTCGACACAATGTTCTCCTCAACCTTCGGCTTGACGATCTCCCCCTGGACAAGGCATGCAACACAACTAGAGAATCCACCAGGTGCAGAAAACGACAATTGCTTTCCTCAAGCTCTTTCAGTCTCCACACAATGGCTGTCTTAACGGCACGCAACTCCAGTGCATTGATATGTTCAACGTTTCCGGTCCAACGCCATCCAGCCACATCTTTCCATCGCCAGAGCTTACTGGGGATGGACGCCCGCAACCGATGATAGCGAGCTGGGAGATCTGACCCTAGCTGAAGCAGGATGTCCTCTCCCTTAACCGACACTTGACCCAGCAACCGCGTCACCAGACTCAACTGTGGACTGCCCATCTTCGTAGTTTGACGCATGGGGGGCCGCATGAGAAGACTAGCCAAATGTTGTTCACGACCAGGCGTCAACCTCTCCACCAACACGGCCAGGCCTAAGGGTGGCAGCAGGCCTAGCGTCCTGAAAAGGCAGTACAGCAAGTACGCAACCACGGGAATTGACCAACTATTTCCAAGGAGCGTCAAGCGACAGTCGTTGTGAGTGGCGCTGCCTTCCATGCTCTTGACAAGGCACCGCCGGGTGTAATCCAAAGGAAACCCTAGGATCACCTCCCTCTCTTTGACTGACGGAACACGCACTTCACCTCGGCGATTGCTGACACAGTTTTCAGAACGATATTGGTATGGTGGAAAGCGATGAAGGTCAGCCTTCCATCTCGACACGGCCTCTGGAGGACAGAGAGCCAACCCGGCTGGCCGGCGTCCTGGAACCATGGAGGGCCGAGACGTGGTGAATGTAGGAAAGGGAGTCCCTGGTCGAGTTCTCTGCCATCCCGGCTCCAGGAAGTCGCGTTCGTCCACCTCTGCTTCAAGCTCCACCTTGCCTTTGACTGGGAGGGAACCTTCTCTCCCCTCAACAACCTTAGCACCCTCAAGGCTCAACGGTTCCCAGCTACACCAGTAGAGACGTGATCGACGTGCTAGACTGATTCCACCAGCGTCAATGTTCCAGGGCATAGTACCATAGGCTGAAGACATAGCCGCACAGTCACTCGCGTCCATCGATGCCACGTTTTCAACTAACCTGTGCACTGGACACCATTTGAAGTGTGCCCGGAGTAAGGCCTCTACCCTGGGGATATGCTGGAACAGGCAAGACCGCTCATCTCGCAACGCACCCTTACGATCTGAGTTCAACCCGGACACGCCTTGACAAGGCGGTCCAGCACCTAACAGCACAAGCCCAACGTTTGCAAAACGCATCCTCCATTGCAGAACATCCTCATTTGTGATGCTGGCCACGTCTCCTACGCAAACCACATCAGGGAAGAAGGACTCCACAACGCGATTAGCCTCTGGAGAAATCTCCACCGACACGTACCCTCCGACCGGCACACGCAACGCATCCAACGCCACCCTAAGGGCACCGATGCCATCAAAGAGTGACACGACAAGGACCTGGTCCATCTCCTCAGGCTCAACGACGTCACCTTGACATTCCGCTTGACACGCAGCGACTCCGAATGGGCTGAGCTCCCTACTCACGCACAGCCCCCCTCCTGTGCTGGGCGTCACTGGCTGTCACTAGCTCTGATGTAGCCAGACGAAAGTCCATGTAGGCCAGCGGAGTCAACGCAACGAAACGCAGCAACTCAAGCGCTACCTCCTGCGGCAAAGCCTTCCTAACCATAGGGCCAAACTGTCCCAAGTCAGTCACCTGTTTCCACACCGCATTCAACCCGGACAACAGGGGCCTTCGGAACATTGCAATGTAAACAAATCCTCCTCCAACCACCTGCAACTCCCTCTGCGATGCCTTGCCAGCCGCACAGATCTCCAGAGCCAGACTAACATACCTACCTACCTTGTCCAACTTCGGAGCCGCGCGACCCAATTCACCGTCTACCCATGCACCTTGCACTTCAGCACGAATCTCCTGGGTGACCGCCTTCTTCGGGTGCCTAGGCAAGCCCAACTGCTGGTATGTCTCACGCACTGCTAGTGACCAGGCCGACGGAGTTCCCTTCAACGTCTCGGCCAAGCGCTTGTCAACCTTGTTCAACTCATCGTAGTTGTCGAGGTAAACCCTGTACTGGTGGGCTGCCGAGCTTTGGTGCCGATCTCGCCTAATCTCTTGGTGCTTTCCTGCCAGTTTTCTTTCACCTCCAAGAGCTTGCTGAATTACCCGGCGATGGACATGCTGAGCGATTGCAACGGAGTTAATGAACCCCATAGGCAGGACTCTGCTCACGAGATGCCAGCCTTTGCCGGTGTAGCCAGCTGGGAGACCCTCTTGCGGGACCTCCCTTCCAAAGCCCATGAAACGGTGCCACTCTGGTGGCGTCCGAAACAAATAGAAAAAACACCTTATATCTTCAGAGGATGTCAATAGCAGCTCCCCATCTCCTAGGACAGTTCCTGACATCCCTGTCACCGTAGGCAGCGTAGAGGTGTCCCCCACCAAGTTTCGGCACAGCCCATTGGTTGGCACCAAATTCATAATGAGCCTACAGACCTCAAATTCTTCTCCACCTTCATCCACAGCTCTCTCCCCCTTCTCTACAGCAAAAAGTCCGTTGAGAACTGGTCGCCCACCAACATGGTAAAGTTCTTCCCTTTTCATGAGGCCACACACCCCCCGATCAACCAGTCCCCGGCACACCTCCGCCCAGTGCTCTTGGCTGACCATAGTGGCAGGTGTCT